ATTAGTACAAGATAGTTCCATTGATTATGGAGACTGATGGCCCATCCAACTTAGTCCATGATAGTTCCATTAACTATGGAGACTGATGGCCCATTTAATTGAGTCCACAATAGTTTGGAGACTGATGGCCCATTCAACTTGGTGCAAGGTAGTTCCATTGATTATGGAGACTGATGACCCATTCAACTTAGTCCTTGATAATTTCATTAATAATGGAGATTGATGGCCCATTTAACTTAGTCCACAATAGTTTGGTGACTGATGGCCTATTTAACTTAGTCCACAATAGTAAACTGATGGCCTATTCAACTTAGTACAAGATAGTTCCATTGATTATGGAGACTGGTGGCCCTACTCAACTTAGTACAAGATAGTATCATTAGTATCATTGATTACAGAGACTGAGATTGCTCTCCTCTGTCTCACTGCTCGTCCAACAGTGTCAGTTATTTGTATTCTCTCTCTCTCTCTCTCTCTCTCTCTCTCTCTCTCTCTCTCTCTCTCTCTCTCTCTCTCTCTCTCTCTCTCTCTCTCTCTCTCTCTCTCTCTCTCTCTCTCTCTCTCTCTCTAACACGCCATCTCTGAACATGAATACTAGGAACTATGGGTAAAATATTAAATATGATATATATTTCATTTTTTTATTATCTGTGTACTTTATTGAATAAAAGGTAAAGGTATTGTTATATTGCCAATATGTTCAGGTATGTATGCATGTATGCATTAATAATTTATATCAAATAAATCCTTTTACACCCTGTAATAGAACAAATATTTACGTCAATATATATGTTTTGTTATTGTTAATCTCTGTAAGAAACATTTAGCTAGACATGTACGAATGACTTGATTTATGGAGAATGGCCGCGTTTAAAAAGCCATAATGTACGGATTGGTTCAGCCAAAGTCAGGAGTTATCAATCTATAATTAAGAGGTTAGTTTATTTGAACTTACCAGAACGGAGTTCAAGTTATGGTTTATCTGGAAGCTGACAGCTGGGACATTGACCTAAAACCAGTTGATAGCCATTTGTTGTCAGACGTATTGCCATGTTTTGATGCTAGTGATGCAGGAATTTTATGTCATTCTGATTGGTTACACTGTGAAGACGGGCGTGGTTTCACACTCGTAAACTATCAGTTTAAATGTGCAGTAGTTGAATTTGCAAATCAGTCTGCACTTTTCTACAAAAGAAAACAGCATAAGACCTTGCACGCATTTGAGAACTTAATGAATAAATTTCTCATTAAAAAAACATTCGAGGGGGAAACAATTACCTAAAGGATCTGACAGACACCAAAAGCTTGAAACGCAAGGCGAGATAGTTTCGGGAAGAAACACGTTTTACGACCCAAACAGAGTAGAAAGCCAGAAAGAGGACAAGGCGAGGGAAAGAAAAAGTAGAGCAAAAAACCTTACCGGTACTAGTGAGTCCAGAAAAACAGTCTGAGTGGACCTTTTATGACGGAATCGAACACAAGGTTATGAATCGAAACAAGGTAGTGTTTACCAATTTCCCACTCAGTTAAATGATGATTTGATTCTATCGTAAACAGAATCGGCTAATTTTATAATCTTGTTTGCATTTTAAAATTCCTTAATTAGTCTGAAAAAGAAAAGAAAGAAGTGTATCTTTAGAAATGTAACGTTTATATCAATAGCTTGTACAATTATATTGTTGTTGATATTTGATTAAATTTTGTCTTTATTTGGAAAGGATGCTCGAGTTATTCTGTTCTATATATCAACTCAGATTATTTATTTATTCCACTCATAAGTTCATATTTTGTATTGACCTTACTCGATACGGGGCAAATTACACCGTTGGCAATCACCTCTACATTCGAAAGCAAAAACCAGTAAACAAACAAGTTGAGATGGGGTTTACCGCATACACACACACACACACACACACACACACACACACACACACACACTCCCGAATTGTGCTTCCAGTTGGCTGAACATCATGTTGCTGGCTGTAGAAGTATTTCCCCTATGGGTTAATTTTTTACATAAAACAATCCTGAAAATGATTTGTTCATCTAACTTAGCCAGTTTTCCCTAGTATTTTAAGTGATTAGTATATTAAATATTCTGATCCATTATCTATCTATCTATCTATCTATCTATCTATCTATCTATCTATCTATCTATCTATCTATCTATCTATCTATCTATCTATCTATCTATCTATCTATCTATCTATCTATCTATCTATCTATAATTATATATATATATATATATATATATACATACATACATACATACATACATACATACATACATACATACATACATACATACATACATACATACATACATACATACATACATACATACATACATGCATGCATGCATGCATGCATGTATGTATGTATGTATGTATGTATGTATGTATGTATGTATGTATGTATGTATGTATGTATATATATGTATATATGTATATATATATAGATATATATATATATATATATATATATATATATATATATATATATATAAAGATAATTGCCTAGCTATCACAATTTTAAAATCGGAGCAATAGGAAAAGCGTATTTATTTATTTATTTATTTTTTGTTTGTTTTTTTATTTATTTATTTTGCCTTGCACTGAAACAGACCTAAAATCATGGGATATGGCTGTTTGTGTCTAAATCTATGCAAACTGATTTGAGAATTTTCATGCAATGTCATGGTGATGCACTTATGCATTGGATGGGTTTTCATATAAAACTTTAGAAATTTCCCTTAATTGGTTTATACATATCTGAGAATTGGACTGTGATAACTGACTTACTGGTGAATATATGTCAGATCGGTTGGAGAATGAAAAGCTTATGACATACATGGGAGGAAATAATAGTAAGGCATGATAGTTTAAAAAAAATATAATACATGCATTTGTGTTGTATGAATATAATATAGTTCAAAAAGTTACCTCCTACCAGGAATTGTTTTTAAGCTTGCTATCAATATCTAATACACAGCACTAAAAAAAACTGGTGAGAGACAGAATCATGGATTCCAAGCAGTTGTAAGTCCGTCCCACTATCACACTTGATTTTCTGACTTGAAAACCATCAGTGATAAATAAGCAATTTAGTAAACTTAGTTGTTCGAGATGTGCTTGTTGATACCAACATTTCAAAACTTGCAATATTTTAATTTTATTTGTTTTTCTTAAAAATGTTTTTTAGCTTTTTATTTGCATGTTCCTCACTCATCCACACTTTTTTTTTTCTTAGGGAAAACACTGAAACAATTCCAAGTATCTCTAAATAAATGTATAGGCATACTAGAATACATTTTTGCTAGTCAAGGTTCCAATATGTTAACCTGTCTACACCTTGGCAGACCAATCAGATATTTTACTGCTTTTTGTACTAGCAGCATCAAATGAATTTCACAAGCTGCCTTAGTAAGTATGTAATGCCAACCAAACGTGTGTAATCGTGGTGCATTGTACATCGGCCAAAAACGGAAGCAGTTGACTTCGAAAGGATATTTTGTAAATTGACATAAAAGGTCAATGTACCAGAGAGAAACCATTACTGATGTATGTGATGAAAATGATATATTTATAGAAACACAGACTGGCAATATAAAATTGCTTATTTATTAGTCCATTCCAGTATTATTCTCCCCCAGACTCAATCATGTAGGAATATTGTTCAAATTTGAACAACCTGATTTCGATTGGATTTGGTGGCCTCCACATCTAGTGAAATTAACAGATCCAAAGCACTGAAATATTTGATCGATCCACCAAGGTGTAGACTGATATATCAGAACCTTGGTCATAGAAGATCATTAGACGATTCAGATAGACTGGTGAACAGAGTACTGGCAGAGATGTGCTTTGCATATATACAAAATCATTCACGTTTTATGTTTTTATCCATTTCTTTTTCTTTCGGGTCCGTTTCAGATGCACAACTGCTAAATCCAAGATATGTTTCTAAAGGGCTATCCGTTACGGATCACTGCCATATCACCTCTGTCTGCGTGGGTTCAAGTCTAAGATTCGGCAAATGTGGATATGTGAGAAAGCTTGCCAGAAGCTTCTTGTGGGTCGGTGGTTCTTTCCAGGGATTTCCCGGTTTCTTCCTCCACGTGAAGGCCCAGCTCGGGCCAAGCGCCCTACTGCCGCCCAGCCTGGGCTGCAGACAGTCGCAGAATTCCAAGGAGTGCAATACGCGACTATAATACCTGGTCAGTCAGTCAGTTTATGAATTTATTTAAATACATTTTTTTACTAGTGATGAAGATGTGCCATTCACAATCATTCAGTTTTAGTATTTTTAATGTTTTTGTTCTTTCTTGATTCTCTAAGTTTGTTTCTACGGCAAAGCTCCAAACTATTAAAGATATATCTGTACAAACTGGTACACATATCGGATGCTTTTTGCTGTTAAGAATTCATCAGTATCATTTAAATCCTTTTATTTGCATTAATCAAACGTCTGAAACCCTCCTAGATATCTTCAGGAAACTTGGTGAACAGTTTAGACAAGCGGAATAAATTATCCATCTTACTGTTCACAAATCTTTAATTTTGATATTGTTCTGTGTCCATCCACCAATTTATTATCTACATTTTCAGTTCTTTGACCAAATTCTAAAACCAACTGATTGATTTCTTTCTTTGCAATCCGGTACTTCAATGAAACTATTTTTATATATCTGACTCTGCTATTGACAGTTCTCTCATCTTTCAATATTTTTTTTATTTCATACATTTTGTTTAATCCATCAATCACAATTCTGATGTGTTTGTGTTTGTTTAATTATTAACGTAGCTTTAACACTTGTTCAGTCATATCGATACGATGACTGCAGTGTGACAATTTATAGTGATGTCTAGCCCTGGGGCATCATGCGCAGACATGTAGCATGATGTCCCACCCAGTTACATTATTTTGACACATGGCCAACACTAACCTCTTAATGATGAGCTTATATTATAGCAAGGCAGCTGTTAGTACCATTTTTATAAGTCTTTGGTATGACTTAGTCGGGGTTTGAACCTACGACCTCCTGTATCTGAGGCGGACGCTCTAACCACTAGGCCACCAGAGAGGTCCCACTTCTGCTTTGAAGCAGTCCTTTAACATTGTTGAAGATATCTTTTTATATTACACTAAAGGGATATCTATGCCTGTAGCTAATACGCTTTCTGTTTGTATTATTTTTATATTAGTCTATTGGTTTGTCCAATTGACAACTCAATTTCTTGAACATTTGTTCATATTTTTTTTCACATAAAAAATTAATATTTCTATTACTCATCCACATCACCAGAACGTAACATACAAAGAATAAATTTGACACATATAAGCACATGTGTTGGAACGTTACAGGCATCATGTGGGTGTGTAAACACATTTCATGCCTCTAACTTTCCTGATATATTTGACAAATTCTCTCTCTCTCTCTCTCTCTCTCTCTCTCTCTCTCTCTCTCTCTCTCTCTCTCTCTCTCTCTCTCTCTCTCTCTCTCTCTCTCTCTCTCTCTCTCTCTCTCTCTCTCTCCCAATTAATTATTAAGGTTATTTTCTTGGCAAAGATGTATAGATAATCTGTAAGGTATGTCACATCATGTATCATGACGGACTGCATTTCCTGTGATATTACACTACAGACACGAGATGAAAAGATAAAATGTACAGTAAATAACATTTTTCTGTTTATATATATATATATATATATATATATATGTATATATATATATATATATATATATATATATATATATAGATATATATATATGTATATATATGTATATATATATATATATATATATATATATATATATATATATATATATATATATATATATATATATATATTAGTGTTTGTACAAAAACTGCCATCTTCATAAATGTGACAGCGTTTTTTCTCCAAAAGTTTTGTATAGAATGCTATCACTACTGCAACTAATTGTATATGTTCTACTGCAGCTGCATATTCTCCAATTGTCATGACTACTGCAAGTTGAGGTAGCCTCGATAGTATATGTAGTTGCAATGTTTGTTGTTTTGTTTTTTCGTTTGGATGGCTACTGAATTGTCTTCACGTCTTTGGTGCATACAGACTATAAGGTGAGATGAGAATGGGACTTTAATGCCTTGTGATGCCCTTTAAGTGCCATTATAATGGGACTTTAATGCCTTGACTTGTGATGCCTTATAAGTGCCATTATAATGGACTTTAATGCCTTGACTTGTGATGCCTTATAAGTGCCATTATAATGGACTTTAATGCCTTGACTTGTGATGCCCTTTAAGTGCCATTATAATGGGACTTCAAGGCCTTGATTTGTGATGCCCTTTTAACAGACGGCCAGAATTCTGAGCATAATGCAAGCAAGACACGAATCCCGAACACGTCAACAAAAACTCCCACAAACTTTATACTTGCCGCTTAAACTGCCTTGCACATGTTTTTCCTGACTCAGGCATGAGGCTCAAAATATTGCAGATCATTCTTTCCAAATCATCATCTGAATTGTTACTGCATTTGTCAGACTAGTTCTTAACCTGTGTCTTCAAAGGGTCCTTTCACTCACACTGGGGAGGGCAGCAATAGGTTTCCAGCTCATTCGTTTCCCGTAGCTGACATATATGATCATGTGGAATTACATATATCTAAAATTAAATGTAATTGCAGTCAGACCTTTCTGGCAAATCATAGTAATGGTGAGACCATCTACCTCAAGAAAGCAGACGTTCTTGCAAAGAATGAATTGTTATTTAGTGATATTAACCTGTAATGAAAACATCAGCCTTGAGTCAGAAAACAAGAAAGTCACAGTCCACATCAACTCTCTTCTTAACATGTATGAAAATTATGCTGCTAAAAACCAACAATAAATACATACAATAAATAAAGAATATTTCTCTCATTATAATAAAAGAGTTAAGTCATTTTTGAAAAACGTTTATGAGGGTTTATCATCAAACAAGACTTCAATGTCGAAAATCTTTACAAACTTTCAATCCGTGGGTAAGGGCTCATCAGACTTATCAGCGAACATGAGTTTATCGTCATAGAAATATGATACATTGGTCTCCCACCAGCTCTTTCCGTGAATGGGTAGTATCGTTGTGGTAACCAACATTTGCTGGATACCCACCAACACAGCCATGACGTGTTCTTGTAAGCAAGGAATCAACTTTAAAACAAAATAATTATATTATTTAGTAATAAGAATTGTTATGTTCACTCATACAAGGATGTCATGCTCAATCACATTCTCAGGTGTAAATTAAAGATCCAGTAATTATATATATATATATATATATATATATATATATATATATAATTCAAATAGCAAATCTCTCTCCCCCAACCCCCAAAGAAAATAACAGAATACTTTAGCAAAATGAACTTATGAACTTATGTCAGGAAACAGAACATATTCTAATACAGACCAATCATTTTATAGCAATTTTGTAACTGGTTAAAGCGAGACCCTTGTATTTTTATTTTTAAAGAAATATCTGAACATCAAATAGGTTTTACAAAATGATTCTCTGCTTGGTTGATATATATATATATATATATATATATATATATATATATATATATATATATATATATATATATATATATATATATATATATATATATATATATATATATATATATTCCTGGTTCACAAAATGTTTCAAATCCCTCCAAAATGTTCTGGTCCCTTAGCTCAAGCAATTCTGTAAAGAATGTATACTATGCATTGCTTTTTGAGATGAAGATCAAACAATGGTATAAATGTTCATGGGTTAAAAGACCATATACCACCCAAACTATCCAACTGGAAAATGAAAGATTCCATACCACCCCACCCCTACTCTCAATTTCACTATCCAACTTGAAAATGAAAGATTTCATACCACCCCACCCCTACTCTCAATTTCACTATCCAACTGGAAAATGAAAGATTCCATACCACCCCACCCCTACTCTCAATTTCACTATCCAACTGGAAAATGAAAGATTCCATTCTCCGTGAAATAACAGAAGACATCAGCAAACGTAAATTGCATCATGAAAACAGTTAAAAATAAGGAAAAAAAGTATTACAGACAGCAGAGATAATAGTGGAGTAAATATTGTGGCTACCCACTAGATGGTAGTCACACAATGTATGATGTTGAATCAGATATATATGACAGAGACTGTCTCTCAATAAAATATATGGCTCCATATTGTTTTGCTGCATGATTACTTTCCCCAGCTTTTAACATTAATTGGTGTGTGTGTGTGTGTGTGTGTGTGTGAGAGAGAGAGAGAGAGAGAGAGAGAGAGAGAGAGAGAGAGAGAGAGAGAGAGAGAGAGAGAGAGAGAGAGAGAGAGAGAGAGAGAGAGAGAGAGAGAGTTGTCTCTAAACCAAAACATTTTGTTTCCGGTTGGCCAATCATTGATAACCCTAACACTCCCCCACCGCACCCCCTGCATTTAAAAAAAATTATTTGTGTTGAAAAATTTCATAAATTAATTTGTGCATCTTGTTTAGACCAATATTTCTTTATTTTGGACACGCGATGTCTAGTGAGTGTTTACTAATAAGTGTATATCCAATAAGGATACAAATATAGCATACTATTTCCTTTGAAAGGTTAACTGTTATATAAGTTTACATTGAAAAACAATCAACATGAACTCTTTGTAAATTTATGTAATTCTGTTGATTTTCATATTCATAATTTGGAATGGTGGAGAACTCATCCCAGGGGTCAGGAGAAATATGGTGATTGGTGAAGTTGCCGATCTAAGGCGATTTCTCCAAACACTCTGGGGTGACTTTTCCAGGAACATCCTCAATAGGGCGAGTTCTCCATGTACCCGGAACTCCAGTCAAACCTGATTTAACCGCATTGGCTTTATTGCGAAATACACTTAGTGTATCGTCCGATGTTTCATGATTAAAGGACATGTGCCACTGGTGATGTACATGTCCTTGCAAGTTCAAGCTTGGAATTTCATTCCATGTTAGCCATTATGGACAAAAATTGATAAAATATCGCTTATGATTATACTTATCGTACGTATATAGGAATACAATAATAGTTGAACTTTCTTTAAATATTTAATATTTCAATAGTATTAACAATATAATTAAAAATATTAATAATTTAATATTTCTTTGCCCACTTTCATTTAAATTTCATTAAAGTTAAATTATATTTTTTTAAATTTCTAATGTTGTTATTAATGGATTTCAGCTTTAATTACATTTGTGTGTTCAATTTAATCATTAGATCCTTTTGTTGATTGTGGAAATAATTTGCCAATCCAAGCATGGCCATTTCTTCTCATAGGTTAGTTGCAATTTATTTATTATAATAAGTGCATGTTACCGTACATAAGTTAAGTAAATACAGATATTATATAGAATTGTTCCGCCACGGTACGTTAATTTGAGTCAGCCACGATATGATATTTTCTTCACATTACGCGGTTCGATTGATACAAATTTTTTTATTGGAATAGAAAGAGGGAAAGTGATAGAAACTTTACTAATTACAAGTATGCAGGAGTAGCAAAACGGTTTTAATAACAACATTAAGTACACAGCGTTCCAGGATACTCGATGCATTTAATACATTATATACTGTGTGTGTGTGTGTGTGTGTGTGTGTGTTAGATTTTTTAACGTAGTTTTAACAATTGTTCAATTATATCTCTAAGATGTGTGCAGTGTTACAGTTTATAGCGATGTCTAGCACTGAGGCATAATGATGCAGACATCATGACTCAGACATGTGGCATGATGTCCCAACCAGTCACATTAATCTGACGCCAGTCCTAATACTAACCTCTTATTGCTGAGCGCCAAGCGAGGCAGCTGTTAGTACCATTTTTGTAAGTAATGGTTCGAAACCATGACAGCCTGCATCTGAGACGGACGTTCTAACAACTAGGCCACAGGAGTGGGCTCATTATTTACTAAACAATATATCTATCCTGGTTTTGAAACACATTTTTGGTCTCATATTTAATGATGAAAAAAACCCTATAAGTAATGCTCAAATCCATCTTGTTAATTTTAAATACATACACACATTCTGAACAAAATTT